GATGTTCAGATGGTCTAGTAATAATTTCAATAAAAGATCTAGTAATAATTTTAATGGATTTATCAATCCATTGAAATTATTATTAGATCTCATATTTATATGCCATAGAAACAGAGACTGAGCACAGATTTCAAATTTGAAATGTATACATACATACTACTATGTAGGACTTACATTTAAAATTTGAAATTAATGATCAGTCTTTTCTTTTTTTTGTGGAGTATAACTAATAATTTCAACAGATTTATCAGACCATCTGACCATGGTGAGCAGCTTTACAGTTAAATTCTGAAGTCAGTCACTAAGATGTCCAATGAACATTTATTGATTTATTGAATATTGTTACTCTAGTTATCTATTAAGCACTTTTTTAGCAAAATTCTGCTGGCCTTAAAATATCTTAAATAATAGTAATTGTTACAAATTTTCATAAGAATCCTTGAATTGTGTTGTATATATGTGTGATTTTACAAAGTTTTATCTAAAGAAATAAAACTTATCTAAAGCCAAATAGATTCACAATGTAATGCCATATCTTTTTTTATATATTATGTATTGTCTAAAATTGTTAATAGTTATATGAATTTTTATGGATGCATGATCAATAGAGATGAAAATAACTAATAATAATTTTTGTCTTAGTGTATTCTTTTGATTTTCAATAAATGTCTTTTCAACATCTATTATTGTTTTTCCAAGTAATCTGTCATTACAGTCCTGGAATTTTTTTTTAATACAATATTCTAATTATTAAATCATCACCCAAATCTACATGCCATGGCTAACATATTATTATAATTGCTCTATAATTGTTTATCACCCCAGGTGAGCCATATATATATATATATATATATATATATATATATATATATATATATATATATATATATATAGTAAGGTAATGAAGGATTTGGTAATCTGTGTGGATAATTCAAAGAAATGTAATCCAGAGAGCTCAATGTAACACCAGAGCAAATATTAATTAAATAATTAAGAAAAGAAAAACCTTAATAAATTATAGTTATTGAACCTTAAGATTGTCTCTTTCTTAATTATTTAATTTATATATGTATTAATAATAATAAATATACATTTGTTTTCAGGCACAAATTGAAAACTTATTTTACATTGAACCAGCACTCAATATTCACTATTTTATAATATATATATATATATATATATATATATATATATATATATATGTGTGTGTAATAATCTGTTGGTATATAATCCAAGTGAATCCTAATAATATAAAATATTAAAACGGATTCACATAGAGAGCTCAATGTTTTACTCAAACAGACCATATAAATTACATACAATAGAAATTAAGATTACTCCATTGTTATGATCATTTCACCCAACAAATTAAGATTAATTTATAAGTATTTTCAAACCTATCAGGTTAATAAGAAAATATAAAATGAAAGTGGCTTAAAACAAATTTTAAAAGCCAGGCAGAAGCAAAGAAAAGAAAGGCAGAAAAAGGAAGAAAGAGTAAAATAAATAGGGAAAAGACGAGATAGGAAGAGGAAGAAATAGAGAAAAAAAGAAGGAGGAGGAAGAAATAGAGAAAGAAGAAAGTAGAGAGAGGATAGTAATGTCTAGACATGGGAATGATTTGTGGAGATATACATGTAGACTGACCTGATTTGTATTGGAATAATCACCTTGGTTTCAATCAGTAAAACAGAAGTGGAGAATTAGGGAAAATATTTTTTAATCTTATATTAACAAATTATATCTTTTAATATTGAATTAATAATATAATTCAATATTAAGAGATATAATTATATATTTATATTAATGAGAAAAAATTCAAGAATTATTAATATATTAAAAAAACATAATTTAATTATTTTCTTTTTAGAAAATGTATCATTTAATATTCTTCATTTTGAATTAATAAAAAATATACATTAACAATACTAAACTATTACCATCTACAAAGAAATAAAAAGTCAGACAAGATTTTTTATTTTCTATAACAAACCAATAATAGAGGAAGAGTAAATGAAAAGGAAAAATCTACACTTAAAATTAGAAAGATTATGTTTAAAAATGATTAAGAAAAATATTATAGTCAGGTTAATTGTTAAAGGAAATATATAAATTCTAATTAAGTAATAAGTACTAACAGATAAATAAATAAAGGAAGCAAAATAAAGAAAAAAAAAGAGATATTATAATTAAATATGAATAAATATATATAAAAATATATATAAAATTATTATATTACATGAATTATTATATTGTTATTAAATAACAATATTATTATATAATATCATTATAGTTAAATATTATATATATATAAGACATAATAAAAACAAAGTTTTATTATCAAAATCTTTGTGCTAATATTAAGATGTAAGATCAAAGAATTTTTTTATGTAAAAATGATTTTTTATCCTTTTTAGAACTTTGGGTTAAAAATTTTGTTTTCCTGGCATCAGTACAAGACCATAAATATGTATGGGGAACATGAGTCTTATTGCAGTGAAAAACATTCATTTGGAAATTCTTGCAAAAAATCAGATAATTGTTGAATTTTATTGGAACTTTCAGAACTTATTCAGAAATTAATTAAATTATTTTGGAAACATTTCTTTTAGAAAGTCTTTGCAAAAAATTTTTTTTACATCTGTTACCTCCCACCCATCATTTAATTTTATTAAATTTTGAGATATACATTTTTGTATTGCTTAATGTTTATTTTAGTTTTAAGGACAAATCCTTAGAAAATTTAAATCATCAATTTTTTTTTATTAAACAGAAATCCCAGTTACAGAAAATCTGCTCTGAATTGTAAAATAAAAAGTGCAATAAAACTAAGACTTAATTTAATTAGAAATTATTTTAGTTGCTTTTATTAATAAAATATTTTATGGACACTATTGTCTTCAGAAAAAAATGTTTCAATAAATAATGAATTTTTACAAGAACTGTTTTTATTTTTTTAAATTTTAATTTGAATAATTTATAAACTTTTAAATCTTTTAAAATTCTGTATTGTAGCAATCAAGTGATATTGTTATTAAATTAAAATTGTAATTACAAATCATAAAAGTAAAAGGTCACTACAATTTGATGACTCCCTCAGCATTTTAAAAAGAAATTTAAATTTATTTTTTGTGTGTATAAGTGTGTGGAGTTCTGTAAATACATAACTGCATACATGACATCATCAGAAAATAAGAGTTGTGGTAACTATAGTAAATTTAAAATTTAATGGTAATTTTATAACATATTATAAATTTTTGAGATTACTGAGTAGTTAAAAAATATAAATAAAAAAAGGCATTTATGTTGTACTCGTCATGTAATTGTATTACAATCATCTCCACCTTACTTAAATTTCCCAAACATCAGACTGTTGATAGATGTTTCAACACCTCATAAAAACAATCCATGTTAAAAAATGCTTTTCTGCAATATTTTAAACTAAAAGTAAATATTTTTTCCATTTAGATTAATTAAACTTTAAATCATTATATGTTTCTCAAATAACATTTCAGAAAAGAATATTTTATTTTTTAAATATTTTTTAATAAAGAGAATTATGTTGTTTTGACAGATTTGTCAGTATGGACAATTTTATAGATTTTACTGATAATCAAAAATCAAAATCATTCCAGTCAATTTAAATTTGGTTTAAAATACAGCAATGTAATTTGGTTATTGGAAATATTAAATTTAATCTATTAGTTGGAATTAAAACTAAAATAAAAAGCACCGAGTATTGCTTTTTTTTGCAGGGGGGGATATATATATATATATATATATATATATATATATATATATATATATATATATATATATATATATATATGCTAAAGCAAAAGAATGCTTTATATATAGAAGAGATTTTTGTAAATAGAATTCATTTGAAAAAATGTTTAATCTATATACATAAATCTATGGCATATTATGTAACTATATATATTTTGTATATTGTGATATATAAGCTTATTATTTATATTTTTAAAAATGGATGTTACTCTAGGTATATAACTAAAATTTAAAGTACATCATACTTGTTTAAACTTTTGTAATCACTCTAACTTATTAATTTTTTGTTATCAGTATGCATACATACACACACACATATGCACATACACCTTTTAACTGACAATAATCATTGTATATAGTTAGTTCAGACATTTGTTCATTTTTGTCTGTTTTTTTGTTGATTTTTTTTTATGTTTTGGCCATGTACTCACTGACTTTCCTCAGGTGTCAATTATATTTTGGAATATATTTTGTTCTTAGAATGCATACACATCCCTCTCATATGCATCACATTCAATGCTTGTGTCTGTATGCCCTTAGAATTGTCTCAGTCATATCTGATTTTAAAATGTTTCTACAGACTATAGATTTCCACTGTTCAAGGAGGGAGATTGGTGCTCATCAACTTATATGGAGTCAAAATAATAAATAGAGAGCAACATTAAAGAATAAAAAATTAGAAGAATCTGTACACATATTATACAGAGATAACTTGATCAGAAAACTAAGTATTAACATTAATGTGTGCAAGTCAAGAAAGAACAAGTGATGATGAAAGGATTCCATGTGTAAACTTCAATGGGAGGTCACAAGTTATGCAGAGGTCAGGAGGAGGCATTTTCAAAGGCACACAGACACAAGCACCTGATATGATATGAGGATGCACATACTATCTCAGAACAGTAGCTTTATGGAACACAGCACACCTGAGAAAGGTCAACACGACATGGTTGAAATATTGTGAAATAAAAATAATAAAGGATATTAATCCAAACAACTACATACAATGATTATAAAACCTAGTCTAACAAAATTCAAATACAAACTCTTATCAATACATTTAAATAATAATTTTTTTTTTATAAAAAACGTCTGTTAGATTTATATTCTTGATTAAGTTATATACCACAGTATACAGTATTGATTATCTTTTTTATTTTTTACAAACAGAAGAACATTGTTTCCATAATTTTTAATTTTCCTTTATCCAGTTCTGTGTCTGAAGGTCAACCATTAATGATATATTTGACACCACCTACTCCATGGTAAGTTCCCTTAAGTTGGTGATCAGTTCTGTGGTGTTTCTGTGTTTGGCTGCAGGTTTCATCTGGTGGTAGTTCTTGACTCATTCTTGGCTTTAGATGCATTCAATCATTTTTCTACCTCTTGTCTTTTGATTCGTAGATTGGCCATGCAAATGAACCATTACTTATTTCCTTGCATGATTCTATCCTTTCCATTTGTCTTTTCCTTATCTTCTACTACTTTGCTCTTTAATGATATTCTTTTCTATTACACTAATTGGTTAGTGGTTCATCTCTTATTTCATTTGAACCTATTTTTTTTCTTACCCTTGTTTTTGTCTGCTGTGAAATTGTAGGAATTCTAGTGAAAAAATGAAGACAATTCATATTCTTCAAAATTTTCCATTTTATAATTAAACTACTTACCTCAAAATATGGCAATAATTTTCCATTATGTATATTGCCATTATTATTATCAAATTGCAACAATGCCTTTTCTGATTCCATGAAGAAAAATATCCAGTTTATTTACTTATATCAAATTAGAAAAATAATTGACTTCATTTGACTCTGTTTTGTTTGACTAAAAAGCTTTCAATATAACATGTGAAAAATGTAAAATAATATATTAAATCCTTAAAATTAGAATTAAAAGCAGATATTCTAATATTTTCCTGTTTGAAATTCATATACTTTGCCCTTTTATATACATATACACACACTTATGTATTTATTTTTTATACTGTGATTTTTTAAAACCTTTTCACTTAACTTAGAATTGTCTTCGTTTATGTTAAACCATGGTAAAAATATAAATTTTAAACATCAGTTTCTTGGGTTATTTTTCTGTTTCATCCTGTTGTAAAAACGTTTTTATTTTTTTTTTTCAATTTTCTATAAAATATTGAATAACATTATCAGTTACTGATCAAAATTGGAATTAAATTTGAAAATATTTTTTTAATAGAAGATAGCAAAATTTATAGTAGCAGTTCTTTGGATAGTTTTGTAACAATTGTACAATATCCATCACAAATACATTTGCAGTGCTTATCACATTAATAAATTAACAAAACTTATCAACCTGACTACTAACATAAAATGGCTTGATTATTCTGTAACAAACTTTATTTAAATATTTGTGTTTAATTGTTGATTGCTGTGAAAAATACCAAAAAATATCAGAAATTATTACATTTTTAAAAACTTTTTACACCTTAATTTGTTTATGATTCTTTCAAACATACTTTTAACATTTGCATCATTTTTACTTATCAAATAATAGTGAAATTGTATGAATTTGAATTTCAGTGCACTTTTATGAATCTTGATGGCCTTTTATTCATATTTAAAATCATCTCATAATATGAATAATTTTAATGCCATTACTAACTGCCAATTCACTTTTCTTTCTCTGACTTCATTAATCCTTAGTTTTAACTCAATGCCTTTGAATGTGAAATATTGCTCTCTTTAAAATCTTTGCATTAGTGTTTTTTCTCTTGGATGATAATTATGTTTGAAAATCTGAAACTACTTGGAATTTGTTTAGAATATGTAGTTATATTGCTTATTCATTAATTCCTTGTCATTGTAAATGAATATTAACTCTCTACTAAAGACATTTTTTTTACTTAACACAAGATTTGTTTAAAGAATTTATAAAGATTTGGTCTAGTTTCCTTATCAGAATGTCAATAAAAATTATTTTTATTTGATTTTGGTATATATCATAAATGGTAGGTGTAGAGACTTATTTTTTTATTGTATTGGTGCTCTTATTTAAAATATACATATAAATTTATATACATGATTTTTTATTTAATTTTTATTAATTTTCTTATACACTAGTCACTTCAACATGTTAACTTATTACAAGAATATAGACTAAATTTAAATTTATTTATTATATTTTATTTCTGAAAGTTACAAAAATTGATGAAGATTACTTGGCTTATATATTTCAAGTAATTGCTATAAATTACTCTTCCAGCAAAGCTTGATGACATTGTAAAAGAGATAAATAGAAACATGGTTCAGCAAAGTTGCATAACAAACAATTTAAACCATTATATATATATTGGTTAAAAAAATTCAAATTTCATTAATTTAATTAGTTTATATCTTCATTGATTTTATCTGTGATTTTTAATTTGTAAACAAATTATTATATGTGCCAAATTAATCACCTCATACATATTTTAATAATTTTTATTTTGTATGTATTTTAATTAAAATATTGCAAATATTTAGATCAAATAGTTACTTTTTTCCACAATTACTTCCATGAATCAATTATAAATTAATTTTTGAAAATTGGAAGAGTCCACATATTGTTTTTCATTTTTTGCTCTTGATTAAAAATGTAAAATATAGTCTTTATTCTTTATTAGAGATTTTTCATAGTGTATAAGATAGTAAGAAATTTGTGTAAGAGTTGAAATAAATGTTTTTGAAAAAAAATCATTATTTTAAAGATGATTTAATTAACCATCAAAATATTAACTGTAAACTATCATTTGGAATATTAATACAAAAAATTAAATTTCCTAATCTAAATAATTTGATTATATTCTGATTTCTCATTTTATTTTTTTATAACTTGTTCTATTATAAAATCCATTGTATGAAATTTAGTTTTATGATATTAATGATAAGTCTTGATTATATAAAATGCAATAATAATGTGGCAAGTTTATATTCATAATAAACTGCTTATTTCAAAGGACCTCTTTTTATTTTGAAACAAAGGGCCACTGGTTTTATTTTGAAGCAATTATATGAAATGGATATTAAACTTTTTTTTTATCTATCTTAATTGTTTAACATTGCTTTAGTGTATTATTTTTCATCCTTATTTATTCCAATGGATACAGATGTTTGAATTTTGAGGGCACTGATTTTTACAAAAATAACAAGAATACTATTACTACTAATAATAATATCAACAACACCAATCATGTGTTATGGCAAAATGAAAAATATTTTTTGTGCTTGTTAGAGTTAAATTTCTAATTGGTCTCTATAAAATGTTATATATTTTTACATATTTCTCTTTAGGACAAAAATCTATTATAAGTTTGGGGAAAACAAAAACTCTGAACTGCAAAACACAGTAGATTTTTTTTAAAACTAAAGATCCTTAAATGGTTGTATTAATCTTAAAGATTATTAAGTTACAAAAATATCCTTCTTGCAATAAAGGGAAAATTTAAGTAAAAAATTGAGCCTTATAAACTCGATCAAAATACTAGATTTATTAATATATATTAAAGTAAAATTGGCTAAAAGAAAATTAACTTCAGTGAATTTAAAAATAGAGCATACGTATATTAGTATGAATACAAAAATCCTCTCTTATCTTAGAAAACAGATTGTGCTAAAAAAAATGTACTCGATTTTTAAAATTATCTTTTTCTAAAGAAAACATTGAGGAATATGTTTTAATGTAATCATTTTTGAAAATTTAAATTTGTTTACATTTCAAGTTTTAATGTTTAATATTAAGTTCCAATTTTGAACAAGTAGAAAATATTTCTTATTCTAGAATGATGTAGGAAGTCTTTAATTCCAATGTATCATGCCATCATCCAGCATTTTAATATATCCTTCTAAAGGCTTATGCAACAATTAAATTCAACCAACAAAACACATGCATTTTATTGTAAATGTTTTTATTTAGTCTCTATAATCTACCATAAAAAATTTAGAAAATTTCTATAAAATTAACAATCTAATATAATAAAAAAATATCCTTAAAATATTTTCTGGTTTTTATTTGTATGTGGTAGTCTTAAAATTTATAAAATTCTTGTGTTTACTTTTTCATTTTTTATTAAAGGTACATTTTTTATTAACTAATGTGATTTTAGAAAAACAGTCATTACAAAGAAAATTTTTCTATTATTTAAGTCCATTGTAACTGATCACATGAAACAAATTGTCAATTTAAGTAATAGTGTCTTATTTATTAAACACTAGTATCATTTTGACAAATATTTAACAAATTTCATTTTATATTGTGAACAAAATAAGAAAAGAGGCAAATACTGCTGGCATATGCAGTGTTTAATTTAAGATAAGACATTGCTTATTTTAAAATTTTGTGAAAGGAATAAAGAAAATGAAGTTTGTTTTTCTTTTTAATACTTCAAATCAATTTTGATGTGTGATGAATTTGCTCAAATAATTAAAATATAACAACAGAATTTTTTTTGTGGAGAGGTGTGAAATCTAAAATATAACTGTTGACTTCATTCATATCAACTTTTTGCTGAAGAATTTTGTTATGACTTTATAACTTATGAAATAAGCATTTTTTTTGTAAAATGTATAATTTGTTCTCTTTAAAATAATAAAATTAAAAGAAAACCTTTCTTTTTCATAGAAAACATTTAATTTTTAATATAGTACAAAAAATTTTCTGATAACAGAATATTGGATTTTTTTCTGCATTCATGTTTACTATACTATGAATACTACAATATTACTAAAATATATTTATGATTGACAAAGAAAATTTTATCCTTATTATTCTACTACAAAGTTTTGTATTTTGATTGCCTTAACAGGCATTTATAATATGCAGTCATTTATTGTTAGAATTAAACAAAATTTTAACGTTTTTTTTTTCTTTCTTATCTTTTATTTTTAAAATTTAAAACTATACATTGTTTGGTATTCTTTTTCTTTTCCATTATTAGTTTTACACTTACATCAGTATATTCATGTTCAGCATTCTTTCTTCCACTCTTCTTTCAGGTTAATCTTAAACAAATTTAAATATATATGGGATAATGGAATATAATTATTTTTTAGCGCATTTAAAATATTATATATAGATTAAGCCTGTGGATAATCCTGGAAAAAAATTGTGCTGCAAACTAAAATTTCTCACTATGATCGTTGCAGCTTTGGTAACTCAGGTGTAGCAACAACTTTTCCAAACATTTTTCAACTACAAAAGGCATATCAATCAAGGCTGTGTGCTGGCCCTTTAATATTTTTTACAATTATGTTGA